TGCATGCATGCATGAGTGTTAGCGTGAGTGCGTGCGCGTGAGTGTGTGCGTGTGAGTGTGTGCGTGCGAGCTCTCATGTCAGGAAAAAGGGAGAGTACAGGTTACGTAGATATATTACATTTATAGGCAATGGAGGGGAGAAAAAATAAATAAATAAATAAACTAAAATAAAAATAAGGGGGGATTGTGGTTAAAGCAGTGCGAGGTCAGAGAGAGGTGTTTGAAGTGTAGGTTCTGGTGCTCTGTCATTATAGGGGGGCGTTGAATATTCTATTGAAATGATGTCGATTAGTAGGTTTTTCCAGTGATTGATATGAATCTTGTTTCTTGTTTTCCAGTTCACGAGAATAGTTTTCTTGGCGATGGTTAGAGCTATGAGGATGATTTTGAGGTTTATTGCTTGATTTGGGAGTGTTGATAAGTCCCCTAGCAAGCAGAGTGCGGCTGATAGAGGGATGCGACAGCTCAGCAGGGAGGATAGTGACTGTGTGACCTCTTCCCAAAAGTGTTTTATGGGGGTGCAGTCCCAGGTGGCATGCATGTATGTGTCTTTGCAGTTTTGAGTGCAGTGTGAACAGATTTCATTGGTGAACCCCATTTTAGACAATCTTTCCCCAGTGTAGTGTGCTCTATGAATTATCTTGTACTGTATCATTTGAAGGTTTGTATTTTTTGTCATGAAGTAAATGTTTTTGCAGATTAGGCTCCAGGTCATCGGGAGCAATCGAGAGGTCTCTTTCCCATTTGGATGTGGGTATGCATATTTCTTGGAGGGGTTTCCGAATAATTTTGTATATTTTAGAGAGTAGTTTTTTAGAAGAAGTAATGTTGATCAATTCTGATATTGCTGAAGGGAGTTGTAAGTTTGTTGTTTTTAAGTTTATAATTGATGTTATTGTGGATTTGAGCTGGAGATATTTCAGGAAATGATTGCTCCCGATGCCGAACTCCTGGGCGAGGAGAGGAAATGGAACAAAGGTGTTGGATGCGATAATATGGTTTAAGTGAGTGATACCCTTTTCAGCCCACGTGGCAAAATGAAGTGTTTTTTTATTACATACAAAATCCGGGTTATTCCAAAGTGGAGAGAAAATGGATGGAGAAATTGTGGAGTTAGTAATTTGGTGGAGTTTCCACCAGGCTGTCAGAGCGGAAGATATTGTTGCTGCTTTGAAACATGAATGTCTTTTAATGGTTTGTGTGAGAAAGGGTATGTCTGATATCTTAATGTCTCTGCATATTGATTGCTCTATATCTAACCAGGGAGTATCTGCTTCAGTGGGGTGTGTCCATTTATATATGTATTGTAATTGGTTTGCGAGAGAGTAGAACTGAAAATGTGGTGCTTCTAAACCTCCTTGGTCTTTATTTTTTTGGAGAGTACTCAATTTTATTCGTGCCGTTTTATTTTTCCAGTAGAATCTTGTGATGATTGAGTCAAGGGATTTGAACCAGGTTGAATTAGGGTGATGTGGGATCATTGAGAATAAATATTTTATTTTGGGTAAGATAGTCATTTTTATAACTGCTATTCTGCCTATAATGGAAAGTGGTAAATTGGTCCAGCGCAGGAGGTCATCTTCTATTGTTCTTAATAAAGGTGTGAAGTTAAGAGCATTCAGCTCTGACAGCCTGGCAGAAATCCTAATGCCTAGATAAGTGATATGGTCATTACATAGGGGGATAGGTGATTGTTGAGCCGTCGCATCCCATTTGGTGTTATGTAGAGGGAGGATAGTTGATTTACTCCAGTTTATTGCGTAATCCGAGATTTTTGAAAATGATTGTATGGTTTTAATTACTTCTTGAATCGATTGTTGTGGGTCTTGTATGAAAAGTAAAATATCGTCGGCATAGAGAGAGATCTTGTGAGTTTGAGTGGTTTCAATACCTTTGATGAGGGTGTTCTGACGGATTGCTGCTGCTAGGGGTTCTATGAAGATGGTGAATAAGGATGGAGAGAGTGGACATCCCTGCCTAGTCCCCCTGTGCAGTGTGAAACGTTGTGATATTAGTCCGTTAGTTGTGACTGTGGCCGATGGTGAGGTGTATAAGATCTTGATCCAGTTAATAAATGACTCCCCAAAGCCAAATCTTTGTAAAGTGGTGAATAAAAATGCCCAGTTGACCCTATCAAAAGCTTTTTCTGCATCCAAAGTGGCAATGATTGTGTCTTTCTGTTAGTGATGAATAGTGTATTAAATTATATAATCTGCGGTTGTTGTTGGACAATTGCCTTCCTTTAATGAAACCGGTTTGGTCTGGGTTAATGATGTGAGGAGTGATTTTATCGTTTCTTTGGGCTAGTGTTTTACTGATGATTTTTATGTCAACGTTTATGAGTGAGATTGGTCGGTAGTTTGATGCAAGGGTGGGATCTTTATTTGGTTTTGGGATGAGTGATATGAGTGCTGTATTCATGTGTGTTGGGAATTTACCATGTTGTTTTACTTCTGCTACTGTTCTCATGAATAATGGAGATAATGTTGGCCAAAAGTGTTTGTAGAACTCAGCAGGGAAGCCATCAGGTCCAGGAGCTTTATTGTTGGGCATATGGTTGAGAGCAAAATTGAGTTCTTTTTCGGTAATTGGTAAATCTAAAGTGGTCATTTGTTCCAGAGTGAGTTTTGGTAGATTGATGCTATTGTGAAATTGGTTTATATCCTCCGGATTTGGATTCAGGTCTGAGGAGTATAGTTTGGAGTAATAGTCTTGAAATATCTTATTAATTTTGTCCGGTGCATTGTGTGGCTTCCCTGCTGAGTCCTGAATAGATGTTATTGCATATTTTTCCTTATTCCTTTTGATTTGATTTGCCAGGTACTTGCCAGATTTATTGCTATGATGAAATGCTTCGTGCCTCAGTCTATGGATAAGAAACTGTGTTTTCTTGTTGGTTATTTCATTTAACATAATTTTATTTTTTCTGAGTTCTATTAGAGTGGTGTCTGATGGGTTATTTGCATTTGTCATTTCTAGTTCCTGTATTTTTGCTTCCAATTGTGTTTCCTTTTCTTGTTCTTTCTTTTTTTATGAACACAGAATGAAATTATTTTACCTCGTAGTACAGCTTTCCAAGTTTCCCATAATAGCGCAGCAGATGACTTTGGGGAGTCATTCACTTCGAGGAAGGATGTCCACTCTCTCTTAAAGTAGCTGTCAAATTCAGGGTCTTTCAAAAGGGATGTATCGAAGCGCCATCTTGTTGAGTGTTTCTGTAGGGTGGGTGGGTTCCATGTGAATGCTACCGGGGAGTGGTCACTTATATTAATGGGGTGGATTTTGGATTCAGTAATATTTTGAATAATGGAGTTGCTTGTTAAAAAGAAGTCAATACGAGAATAGGTTTTGTGAACAGATGAAAAGAAAGTATATTGTCGAGTCTTTGGATGTTGAAGTCTCCAACCATCGCCAAGACTAAAACCACCCATGAACTGCTGAATTGTCTGAGTGGATTGCCAGGATTTTGATGTCATTTTGGATCGGTCTAATGCTGGGTTGATTACAGTGTTGAAGTCACCCCCTAAAATGACAGGGCAGTGAGAAAGATTTGAGAGGGAAGAACAAAAATTAAGAAAAAAGGAGGGGTCATCGGAGTTGGAACCATAAATATTGCCTATTGTGACTGGGTTGTTGTCAATAGAAATGTTGATAATAATAAATCGACCTTCCGGATCAGTAATTGTTGTGTTATGGGTGAATCTTATTTTTCTATTTATTAGGATACAAACACCTCTTTGTTTTGAATTATAAGGCGATGAAAATGACTGAGTGAATTTTGAGTTTCTTAAACTGTTCTCTTTTGATCGTGTGAGATGTGTTTCTTGTAAAAGGCATATGTCTGCTTGAATGTTATCCAGGTAATTCAAAACTTTCAATTTCTTGACATGAGAGCCAACACCACGAATGTTCCAGGTTACAAAATGTTGCATATGAGATTAGTTATGAACTCTTTATGGCTGTATGATTGAGTATGAGTTTGAGTGTTAGTGGTTGTGTGTGGTTGTGATGTATGGGAGAGTCTACAGACAGACAAACAAGACGGGACAAAAACTAACAGGAGAACACAAAAACATACATACAAAACAAGACAACTAACTAACAAAAGACAGTGCATTGTATGAGCAGTGCTGTGGGAGAGAGGTGCAAGTATTATGTATCAGAGAGAGACACAGAGAGAGGGGAAGGGATAGGGAGACTACATTTGTGTTGATATGGTTATAATGGTTTAGTAAAGCCAGGTCTTTGTCCTTAAACGGGTGTCCATCAATATACAATTTGTCAACTGTGATTATTGCTTTCTTACCTTGTGTCATCATTTGTTTGCGGATTGGGAAAAGCTGTTTTTGTCTGCAAATGATTTCGTGTGGATATTGGTCATTGAGTCCATAGTGAGTCCCTTTTAGCTGCCTGCCTTGACGCTGAACCAGTTCTTTGTGTTTATAGTGTTCAAATTTCACAATGATGGGTCGGGGTCGGGGTCGCGTGGAGTTGGGGAGTTTTTGTCCTAAGCGGTGTACACGGTGGAAGGAAATCATGTCGGCTGTTTCAGGGGGGAGTTTGAGCTGATTAACCATGAAGTGTTTTACCAACTTCTCGGGGTCTTCGGTGGGGGATGATTCAGTGATGCCGGAAAAAATCAGATTGTCTCTCATACTTCGTGATTGTAAATCCAGGATGGTTTCTTTCATAGCTTTGTTTTCGTTGGATATGGACGAGAGTTGTGAGGAAACTGCGGTGAATTGTGAAGTAAGCGTGGCGACGGAGTTTTGCAGACCGGCGTTTTCTTTAGTGAGTGACTCGATTTGTAGTTGACTGTATTCTAGGCTCTGGCGTATTTCTTGAAATTCCTTATGCAGTACCTCAATTAGGGAGAGTCTGGAGTCCAGTGAAGCCAAACGTTCATTGATGATTGGGGTCAGCAGCTCGTCCCCTTCAGAGAGTCCAAACTCACTCACTACTTGCAGTTCTTCTTCTGTGGCCCCGGGTCAAAGGTCACCATGGTCGTCAACATCAACCAAAACTCGACCAGCTTCGACGAGACGCTGAATGTGCTCAGGTTCTCTGCCCTAGCTCAGAAGGTACAAATGCTGATTGTACTGCTGCTGATGGTATGACTGTTGATGGTACAAATGCTGATGGTACAACTGCTTATGGTACTGCTGTTGATGGTACAGCTGCTGATGGTAAATGTAACAACAAAAACAAAGCATCTTGGGCATGTCATCACTGCAGACATGACAGATGACAGTGACATTTACAGACAGTGCAGGATGCTGTATGCGCAGGCCAACACTCAACTGATGTCAAAGTGCAACTGTTTAAATCCTACTGTACACCACTGTCCAACGCCCACCTGCGGACTAACTGTAAAAGAGTCTGGAAAACCAGTCTGCACAAGCTGCAGGTGGCCTATAATGACCCTTTTCGAGTGCTCATGGGAAAGCCACGTTGGACCAGTGCATCTGAGCTGTTTGTCAGTGAGTGAACACACTGTCAGTGAGTGAACACTTTAAAGGCTGTGCTGAGGAACCTTATGTACCATTTCATTTGTCGACTGAATAAATCAGAAAATGTAGTAATTTTGGCGCTGAAAAACATCAAGTTCAGTACCACTCGAGTGCAGTCCAAGATATGGAGACACTGGTATAGCTGTCTTTTAAAGTCATAACTGTTTGTTATTTTCTTTTGTCTTGTCTGTCTGTATGTTTTAAATTGGACCTCGAGTCTGTAATAAAGTTGAATTGCATTTCAACATTAATGACGTTCAAATGCATATATTTAAAATACTTTTTTGTTTGTTTGTTTGTTGTTCTTTTTGAATGTTTGTCATGGTGTGGCTTTTATTTTTGTACTTTGGTTTTATTTTGACATTTTCTCTGTGGTTTGGTTTTGAGTTTGACTTCTTGTGGTGTTCCCCTGTCTTGATTGTCTGCCCCGCCCTGATGTGTTTCACCTGTGTCTGTGTCTATATGTACCCAGTGCTCCTTTCCCCTTGTTGCTGTTCCATTGTATTGTCAACTTCTGTTCCGTCCTGTTTCTGATTTCGTGTTCCTTGTTCTGTATTTTGGATTTTGAGTTTTATTTTCACTTTGACAGCTGTGTGATTGACAGGTGGTGGTGCTCAGTGCCCCGGCTCCTTGGGACAGCGCCCCCCACAGGCCGGCCATGGAACTGGCTCTGATCATTGACGAAGTTGAAGCTCGACGCTTCACTTTGGACTTTATTTCATTAAACCATTAATGAAACCTCTGATTGACACCTCTTTGACACCTGTATGTTAGACACCTCTTTGACACCTGTATGTTAGACACCTCTTTGATTGACACCTGTTTGTTAGACACCTCTTTGATTGACACCTGTATGTTGGACACCTCTTTGATTGACACCTGTATGTTAGACACCTCTTTGATTGAGTGATGTGTGATTGACAGCTGTGTGATTGACAGGTGGTGGTGCTCAGTTCCCCGGCTCCTCGGGACAGCGCCCCCCACAGGCCGGCCATGGAACTGGCTCTGATCATTGACGAAGTTGAAGCTCGACGCTTCAGAGGGAGGAAGAGTAGTCTAGGCTGGGAGCAGAGTCTGACAGGTACACACTGAGACACACACACAAACACACTCACACACACACAGATAGAGACAGAGACACACTGTGTGATATGGTTTGTTTGTGTCAGACCTGAAGGAGGAGGAAGAGGGGGAGGAGGAGGAGGAGCAGATGGAGGAGACTGTTCTAGAGGCAGCTGCAGACGACACAGTAGAGGACGGACAGGTACTATCCTCCAACTGTTGTAGTACTACACAGTACACATACTACAGAGTACTGCAGTAGTGTGTGTACTCTCCAATGATTTTCCAATTTTATTTGAATTTAAATAAATTAAATAAATGTTACATTTTTCTCAGGGGGAGACTGCACAAACGGTGTCCTGGTCTCAGTTCTGGGCTCAGATCTTGTCTCTGTCCTGGTCTCACTCCTGGTCTCTGTCCCCCATCATGAGGCACTTGTCCCTCATCATGAGGCACTTGTCCCTCATCATGAGGCACTTGTCCCTCATTATGAGGCACTTGTCTCTCATCATGAGGCTCTTGTCCCTCATTATGAGGCACATGTGGAGTTTAATCTAAATCTCCTGTCCACAGACTCTGGAGCAGCGCCTGCTGCAGATAACCAAGCTCTCAGAACTGAACCAACAGAAAAACCGTGTAATCGAGAAACTCACCTCCACTTTGAACCAGACCATTGAGGACGCAACCAGAGAGGTGAGGACCAGGGACCAGAGACCAGGTGTGGACTAGACCAGGTGTGGACTAGACCAGAGGACTGGAGACCAGTTGTGGACTAGACCAGAGATGTGAGGTTCAGGGACCACAGGTTGGAGACTACAAACCTGAAACAACCTATTTCTTGTTTTGCAGCGTTCTGTGATGGAATCTGTTCGAACCGAACTGAAGGAGGCAAGGGACCAAGGAGAGGAGGCAAGGGACCAGGGAGAGGAGGCAAGGGACCAGGGAGAGGAGGCAAGGGACCAGGGAGAGGAGGCAAGGGACCAGGGAGAGGAGGCAAGGAAACGACCAAGGAACTCCAGTGACAAAGAAACGGCACCAGCCAAAAGGAGAGGTCCGTGTAAATGAGTGTTTTAAATACTGGCAGAATTACTTGCATTAAAGTGTGTATTTAAAGAAAACTGAAGGATTTAGCAAGAATAAAAGTTCAGGATGACAATGGACACCACAAAATCCGATCTTTCTGAAAGCTGTAGGTTCTCTGTCAGCTGAGTCGAGCTGTTTTAGTTTACATTGTGTTTTATCAGAAATCTTTTGGGATAGCCCACGTGAATTTAGTCTGCAGTACCACGGGCAACACCTGTGCTGATGGGTGGGACAGCTATAAGCTAGTAATACTCTATCCAGATATTATATTAGATCTATGGTTTAAAGACTGGGGTGATGTGTTCACAGCGGTGCTGGAGGAGGAGGTCTGGAGACTTCATGAGGAGAATGATAAGAAGGAACAAACCATCTGTGAACTGAACCAGACCATCTGTAGACTAGAGAAGCAGCTACAGAAGAAGGAGGAGGAGCTACAGAAGAGGAAGGAGGATCTACAGAAGAAGCAGGAGGAGCTACAGATGAAGGAGAAGGAGAAGAAGGAGGAGCTACAGAAGAAGCAGGAGGAGCTACAGAGTGTTCAGAGGCACATATCATTACATAAACACCAGTATCACAATTAAAACATTAAAATCACACACACACAAAAAAAAAAAAAAATGTTTATTACTACATACAAGTTGTATTAACCCTTTAGGCGCCAGAGTTTTTTCAAGAAAATATACAATTTTGATTTCAAGATTTCAAAAGGCTATAACTTTAAAATGGTTTGAGATAAAGGCATACTGTAAATTAGAAATATCTTCAGTTTGAACCAAACTTTGGGATGGAAGTTGTAGTAGTACGCGTGTGGAGTGAGCACGCGTTTTGACGTCTCTGCTCTGTTTACCCTTTTAAGCCTTTTAAAGCCTTTTAAACACGTTTTTACGGTGTATTAGTGTCTTTTGTACACTCTAGTGTTTTATTATCTTAAATGCAATGGTTCCAGAGCATTACGTCTTTTAACACAAAGACCAAATCGAAACGCGCTAGCTCGGAGGCTACCACGAGCGCACCACAGACATGGAAAGTAACACTGCAATGACCACGAACGACATTAGTCGCCTCACATTGGAGCTTCGTGAGAGGGACCGTGCCACTATTGCAGACCTCCGTAAATAAGTCCTTCGCCTCACTGCAGAGCTGCAGGATAAACAGTCACTCGTGTCCAAACTTTTTGATGTCGCTGGCGGGCAGCACTCACGGCTTATGTCACTGAGCGCTGCATACTGTGACACTGTCGTGTGGGAGAGGTCTGTCAGCTCTGGGCCCTCTTGTTCTACACCTAAGTGCCCGGTTCGGAATAAAGAGCCTGCGGACTGCGAGGAGCCATCCAGCGCCGTGGCCCATGTCCTGAGCCTGTCAAACCGCTATGCAGCCCTCTCCGCTGACATTCCAGCCCCCTCAGCAGAACCCCTGGACTCTGCAGCAAACTCTACTGCTGTCCGTGGATCCAGGTCCACTGCGAGAAAGACACTCTTAAAGGAAGCTGTCCTCAGACGAAAGAGTGGTCATTCCCCTTCTCTGACCCCAGTGCATCACCACCACTTACCTTCACCGGGTCAGCAGCAGCGACCCGAGCCTGCTCCTCTCGCCGCTCCAGCGTCTCCGTGCACACAGCGTGGGTTGCCCGGAGCTGGGAATCAACACCCCCACTCTTCTCCATGTGTTCAGCAGCGCCCTGGTTCGGACCCATCCCTGGATGAGCCCGCTGGTTCTGGCCATGGACACCGAGCGCCTTCTCTGCGGGCCGCGTCCACTTTTCGCCCCAACTACTCTGATTATTGGAGATTCCATCGTGAGGCACGTCCGCTTTTTTAACGCGGTCACTCACTGCATTACCGGAGTTACAGTCCCAGATCTGCTCATCCGTCTCCCTCCTCTGCTTCACTCCCTGCCCGATACCATATCCAAGGTAATCGTGCATGTGGGTATAAATGATATGAAGAACACAGAATCACTGATATTAGAAAAGGCCAGACTGTTGATACAAAACAGCAAAGATATGTTTCATAGTGATAAGCTGCTTTGGTGGGGTGACCCTGAAAGATGCCATTACACCTGTTACAAAGTGTTTCTGCTCCCAAAGAGGCTATTTTGTAATGTTTTTGAAAAGGTTGCCACGTCTGGTGGTTTGCAGCGTTCCCTCTCCCTAAAATGAACTTGTTTCTGCTAAATGCCAAGTGATTTTTATTTGTCATAATCTATTTTAATCTGCGCAAACATCAGGCGAGTTTACCCAAAATGAGTCAGGGCTGCTCTTTCCGCTTTGACCTTTTCAGACGCATAACAAGGAATGTGGATAAATTAGGTGGAAACATGTATTTATTTATAAATACTAAATAAGACATGTTGTGCTTTTTTAATATTCTGATTTTTGCCTATTCCTTGTATTTTTATAATATTTCACTTTCATTTTCACTACTTGCCCATCATTCAATATAAACATAAATTATAAGATAAGATTTTATTGATCTCACACTGGGGAAATGTACATGGCACATTTGGCATTGATAGAATCAAAAGACAGAAGTGTGCAACATGTTCAAGGTTTTTCATTATTACATTGTTAATTGTAAGGATGTATACTTACAATTAACAATGTTGTGAAAAGTTGGGGTACCTAACTTTCAACAAAAAAACACTTTGAATCTATCATTGTGTTTTAGTGGATGTACTGTTTGGTCTCACATCTTAGGTTCACCTTTTTCAGACAGACAAGTGAACACAAAATGGCCACCCTTTTATACTCCTCCAATCATCTCTCACTAGCGACTCACAAGTATGCAAAAGATAAAATAAAGAAGTGGGTGAGCATAGGTGTTAGGTGAAACAGAAATTATCTGAGCACTGGAGCCTTTAAAGCCAGACAATATAGTGAGTGATCTTTATGTGTTAACGTGACATCACAACATTTCAAAGAGCCCATAGTTTGACATTGTGGCCGAGAGAGGATAAATGTTTCCTGGTAACTATAGCAACTCAACAATCACGATTCTCATCTTACATTTTGGCCAATCCTCAAACAAACAAAAACTGTCACAAAGTTACACATCGTCAGCTGCTCTCATTATTTTTCTATGGTGTCATAGAAGTAGTGACAATATTCAGCATAATGTTGGCCAGGAGCGAGGACTTTTACAAATAATATGGCAGCAAGTTTGTGAATCCATTCACTATCAATAAATGATCTGAATAAAAACATTTGGACATTTTTATTTTCTTTGAAAATTGGCTTTTTGAAAATTAAGTATTTGTACCTGCCCTCAAACTGAAATAGAATTTTAACACAACCTATTGACAAGGGCACTCTGTTATAACAAGCTATAAAGCACATTTTACAAAATGTATAATATTTGTAAACATATCACCTAATAGTATTTTATACATTTTTGGTTTTTAATTATTTTTGGTCCACATCAACAGTGACATCACTAGACTAGTGATTGTACAAATACTGTCATGTGCAGTGCCCCTCCTCTGTTATCAGTGAATATAGAGACAGATAAAGAGGAGGCTAATATTCGCCAAAAGCCTGTCATGGCTAATGGCTCTAAATAGCTTGAATAGGTGCAATAACAAGAGTGTACAGTATCTTCACATAGTCAAGTTGATGCATCTCTTATTGATCAGGAGAACTGCGGAAATAGACTGGAATGAAAACACCCGCTTTAGCAATGCCCTTTGAAAAGCCTCGAGGAGGAGTTTTCGATCAATTTGAGTCATTTTCAGAAAGCTCTATATTAAGCTGATGAACTGGGTTGAATTTGGACGTACCGATGAAAGTGTAGATATTTTAGATTTGATGTTGCTTGGTGAAATGGTGCATTATCAGACCACTTGACGAGTGATATCACATGCATGATCATGAAGTTGCTTGTGTTGTTTCTGGAGAGTTACAGTGGGGCAAAAAAGTATTTAGTCAGCCACCGATTGTGCAAGTTCTCCCACTTAAAATAATGACAGAGGTCTGTAATTTTCATCATAGGTACACTTCAACTGTGAGAGACAGAATGTGAAAAAAGATTTCAAGAAGGATTTTTAAAGAATTTATTTGTAAATTATGGTGGAAAATAAGTATTTGGTCACTTCAAACAAGGAAGATCTCTGGCTCTCACAGACCTGTAACTTCTTCTTTAAGAAGCTCTTCTGTCCTCCACTTGTTACCTGTATTAATGGCACCTGTTTGAACTCATTATCTGTATAAAAGACACCTGTCCACAGCCTCAAACAGTTAGACTCCAAACTCCACTATGGCCGAGACCAAAGAGCTGTCGAAAAACACCAGGAAAAGAATTGTAGACCTGCACCAGACTGGGAAGAGTGAATCTACAATAGGCAAGCAGCTTGGTGTGAACAAAACAACTGTGGGAGCAATTATCAAAAAATGGAAGACATACAAGACCACTGATAATCTCCCTCGATCTGGGGCTCCACGCAAAATCTCATCCCGTGGGGTCAAAATGATCATGAGAACGGTGATCATAAATCTCAGAACCACATGGGGGGACCTGGTGAATGACCTGCAGAGAGCTGGGACCAAAGTAACAAAGGTCACCATCAGTAACACACTTTTGTATGTCTATGTGTCACTTTTGTATGTCTTTATATCATTTAATAAAATATAAAAAATAAGTAACACACTACGACGACAGGGAATCAAATCCTGCAGTGCCAGACGTATCCCCCTGCTGAAGCCAGTGCATGTCCAGGCCCGTCTGAAGTTTGCCAGAGAGCACATGGATGATACAGCAGAGGATTGGGATAATGTCATGTGGTCAGATGAAACCAAATTAGAACTGTTTGGTATAAACTCGACTCGTCGTGTTTGGAGGAAGAAGAACACCATACTTACTGTGAAGCATGGGGGTGGAAACGTTATGCTTTGGGGCTGTTTTTCTGCTAAGGGGACAGGACGACTGATTCGTGTTAAGGAAAGAATGAATGGGGCCATGTATCGTGAGATTTTGAGCCAAAACCTCCTTCCATCAGTGAGAGTTTTGAAGATGAAACGTGGCTGGGTCTTCCAGCATGACAATGATCCCAAACACACCGCCCGGGCAATGAAGCAGTGGCTCCGTAAGAAGCATTTGAAAGTCCTGGAGTGGCATAGCCAGTCTCCAGACCTCAACCCCATTGAAAATCTGTGGAGGGAGTTGAAAGTCTGTGTTGCTCGGCGAAGAAGGCAACTAGAGCAGAGGAAGGCAATTATTGTATCTGCGGGGTCCTTTGTTTTCCAGGGTTAAAGGGGTTACTGCAAGAAATAATTATTAGATTATTTCTTGCGGCCCAGCACGAAATGCCCAGATTTTTTTGGGTGGCTACGAGTTTAAGCCTCCCAGGTTTACTGCACACATGTAAACATAAACATGTGTGCATCCAAACTGCTGGGGCAAACTGCTGGAGCCATTCGGGCCCCAATTCATGTTTCTATGTGGGCCCAGATCATTCCCAACTAACCTCAGACACCAATGTTCCCTCAATCAAAAAAGAAAGCGGTTCTCAATACAATAATAACTTGCTCAATATATGTTCATATTACAAAAACAAAACAAAGGCCACAGATGCTTCAGATGAGTTTTATACAAACTAACTAATTATATCTGAAGTAGCTTTCACAGGAAATTGCAAATATATTGAATGAAATGGTGTGACTATAACCCAATGTGGCCCCCCAGAGAAAAGAATGGCCCTGCCCTGCTGTAGGGAGAGCTTTGAAAAAACTCAATGAAAAACACTTCAAATTTAATTTCTAACAGATCTTTAGAAAGCACATGATTATCCCTGAGTGGCTTTGTTGCTGAACGGCTGCTTTATAGTTTTCATTTCAAATTGTTTATTTTGTTTTTGTGGCCCTCAGCATTTTTTTGCAGGTTTCATGCAGCAAATTATGACACATTATCCTTAAGAGCTCATATCTACACTTCTGTCTGACGCTAAGACTAAAGAAAAATGTTTCAAACCTGTGATGAATGGAATATTGTATTTATACTTTCAACCATGGATTTGTTTATGCAAAAATCAGCTTTTTCAACAGAAAAGAGAGGACCAGCCTCACTCAGCCAATCGGCTCCCATCCCAAAGTGTCAAATAGAGTCGTCTTTCAAGAATGCAAACCACAAAGTGTTGGGAAAAATATAGACCGCGTTTAGACGAAGACTCTGCGGAAACGCTGGAAAGCAATTTGCAAACCGACAACAATGGAAAACAATGTAGTTCTAGCGCCCGGTCAGTAGTGGGCAGTGGAACTTTAAAACTTTGCATGGTTTTCTTTGGACGGAGGAAGAAGTAGGATTGCTCCTTCGTGTATCGCTAGCAGCAAACATAGCATTATTTTGCACTTGTTCTCGTTTACTGCACATGTCAAAATGTACGTGCGAGGAAGTGCTGAGGTCATTGCAGACAGCGAGTTAACACTCTTTTCTTTACACAGCTGTGAAACAGCTTTTTCACCCCCCTGAAACACCCTCTCTGTTTGAACGAAAGGTTAATCTGTTACCCAACTCTATTGTTTTACTGACGCCGCGTCTCTGTGTAAACACCCGCAAAGTAAAGTATCTCAGCTTGAACATTGGTAATTTAATTTTTATTTACATCTACTTGAAATAACTTTGCAACATTCAAAATGACAGGATCCTAATCCTTATCACTTCAAATTCTGACCAATTCCACTTTCAAGACATTGACGGCCGCTTATCAGTTCTCAATTATCTCCACAGAAGTGTCTCCTATCTCCGACGAGGCTCAGCTGCTTCAGAGCTTCATCTCCTGATAGCTTCACTGTCTTATCACGTCGTATTTGTGGTGCGGATCACTCAGCATTAGTGAACAGGGGAGGCGTCTAACAGCACGTAGGTTGTTCTAACCGGTGTTGTGGTCCCCTGGGAGACCCCGCTCTGATGGGTGAGCTGTGATTTATGCTCACGACTTTGACAGCTTCATTAATTAAAGCGACGTCACCTCCCACTGTGTGTCACCGCGAATTACTACCACCGACCTCCTGGGAGCGGTGAGGGCGGAAAGAGCGACTAGAGCGTAGCACCATGTGGTTCTTTTCAATGAGGAAGAGCCCGCAAGTGGATTGTAAAGGTATTTCATAAAATAATGATGATAATAATAATAATAATAATCTTGATAGAGAAAAAGATACATTCTTAAAATACAAGTTAAAATGCAGTTGAAATACAAAGGTAAAAGCATCATGAACAGAGGAAATTCAATTCTGGAAGGCTGAACTTCTGCAGCCCACTCCCAGGCCTGCCTCGCATCCGCTGCCTATTGCACAGCAACGCCCATTTCCGGTCAACCAATGCCCGCCAGGCCAGCAACTTAAAAGGCTGAGACTCCCACTTCTCGGCCTTCTCAAGCCAACCAAACAACCGCCTCCCCTCCTTCTCCTTCTTACCGTTCTTTGAGTGTGCGCTCTCTCCCTGCTGCCCAAGTGCTACCACCAGTACCTAGATCCTGGGGGATCTCACGCACACACAAACAAGAGCCCCGCTTAACAAAGTGCTGCACCGGGGCCTAGGGTGCCAAACATCCTATTAATAAAAATACTTCAAATTGCATTTGTCTCATAAGTCTCTCCAGATTGAATTAGTGTTAGTGAGTATGCTCGTCTAAACAGATGAGATTTATGTTTTATATATGTATGTGATAAAGTCATTGTCTATTGTTTTTAATAGAGCTACACAATATTGGGGAAAAAATTGATTTTTGATAGAGGTGTTATTTTCTCTTCTGCAAATGAAGGAATGATTATTTTTCTAAATTGAATTAACTTCTCTTTAGGTTAAAGGAGCAGTATGTAAAAATCTAGCCAAAAGTAGTACTGAAACTTCTCCCACTCTCCCTGACTTAGGTTGCCAGATATGCAGACAAATCCAGCTGATACCATAATATCTGAATAAACAAGAGTTTTATCAACAACAAATTGTTAACCAAGTCCCCGATAGAAATTCCTGGTTTGTCATTAATAATTTGAGATTAATTTTAGGTTCTGCGGCCACATGTTACTTTACCAGTGAGATTAGCTCGGCGAATTGAGTGATTGGTAAAACAGTAGAGGGCGGGACAAAGAAATGAATTTACGGGCTGTAAAACTGATTTTGAAATCCAAAAATTTCGGCTGAACTACAGTTATCAGTTAAAGAAGTATTCAAAAGGAGCATGGTATATTAATGCCTTTGGCATATTAGGCCATTTAAGGAGGAGCTCCTTCAGTGGAAGACTGAGACACCCTCAGTGTAGGAAGGAGCGCTACCGCAGGGCCTTTATCCCCACCGCTGTCAGACTGTACAATAAGTCACTTTAAATGATCACTGTGTGAATACCTGCACTACTATTGACACTTTTTCCAATTGACACTTGTCACTTTTGTTGTACATAATTATTGTCACTTTTATTGTACATATATCCTGCATGTAACATGTTTGCACATTTCCTCCTTTTGCACAATCTGAGTGTTCTATCCATGCCAAATGTGACATGTAAATTTCTCCTCTGTGAGAAAAATAAAGCACATCTTATCTTATCTTATCTTAATGATGACTAGACATGCAAATCTTACATATTGCTACTTTAATTCATTGTCATTACAGTCACAACACTATTTGACCCCAAAGTGTGAAATAGTGAGACATTTTTGTTGGGATAAATTGAATTATGAGATAAAACAAAGTTTGATCTTTGTATCATCACTGGGATATGTGGATTTAAGATTATGTATCAGTTTTCAACAAAATGTTGCTTCCTCAACAAGCAAACGTTTATTCCATTTCTCCCAGTGAGTGCTGTGTAAAGTGTGAAACCTTGTCCATCAAAAGCGGTCCCCAAACAATAAGGCCATTGCTAGTTTGGCGTCAGTCATTTCCCATGCACCCCACAGTTATCCAGAAAACAATATTTAACACCAGCGAGATGTGACAATGAGTCCAACCCTGGCTGTCAGTCCGGACGCCGAATCCCATCATTCAAATCCGACAGGCCATTAGGCGAAGGACACAAAGGAAAACACGTGAAGGAGGAGGAGCGGAGTGATGGAAGGATGGGACTCGAGCACAACGATGGGGTTACTTGTTGGAGGTTGGTGGTTATAAGCTTTTGGGTAAGCAGTTCAAAGCAATTGACAGCAACAAAAATAATTGCAAGGGGTGTGGGAGGGTTACATGTTACAGGTTCTCTGAGTACAGGGCCGCAGAGAACATTCATATTTTTAAAAGAAGGCAAGCAAGACACCTTTTTTGATTAGTATTTATTTCTACTATTTGATTTTATATATTCCTTTTGACCTTCTTATGAATTTTATTTTATTTTTTAGTCTAATTTTTTGTTTTCGTTTATTGTCATTTTTAGCCTCACATTTCAAGTTTTTACTTTTTAGTGTATTGTTTAGTATCCTCTGTGTTTCTTCTGGAGGAGGCCTATAGCACTGGGACCATGGCCGGTTGTGGCTGTGGGAGTCTGGCAATTGGACCTGGTGAAGGTCTGGGGCCTCTTCTCAACCTCTGGCTTTTGTGTCGTCCCCTGCTCATGGTGTAGATGTCTCCTTGGATGACGCTTCGTCAGCCGGTTACATCTGGGGGGTCAGGCTGACGGGTCATAGGTATATCAGACTGCTTTTAACTGGATTGTAAAGCACTTTGTTTTAAATTTATTTGTATGAAAGCGCTTTATAAGTAAAATTTGATTGATTGAGGTAAGATACTCATCAATCCAAAAAAATCCACCTTTGCAAAATGGAAGCCCATCCATCCATCCGTTCATTTTCTTCCCCTTAATCCATTTCTGGGTTGGGGCGGTGGCAGTCAGGGCTGCACCCAGTACACTCTTTGCAAAATGGAAGCCAATTAATAATTTGTAAAAAGATAATTTCCTTTCTTAAAGCTGCACTAAATGACTTTGGGATTTTGAAGCCGCTGACTCGCTGGCCTCTCTCTTTCTGCTCCCCTCCCCGCACCCACGAAGCTATCGCCCCCCCCACACTCACTGTTGGGACGGAGCTAGCGTCTCCCAATATGGATAATACATGGACATGGATTTTGACGTGGATGGCGTGACCATAGAAGGATAGAACCGGGAAGCTTGGAGGAACAGGACTTTCTTTTGAATGGCTATCTCACTGTGTAAGCAGTAACCGGTGACGAAGACACACAAAGCTTCAGGTTAGCTCCGCCGCTTGTTGTGCTAACTCAGCTGTCTATGCTAACGGACCTGTAGATTTCTCACGAAAGTGGGGGCTAGTGGTCCGCTGTGATTGGTCACAATCTGCAACCCGAAACACATTATCTTCCTTGTTTCATCAAAACTCGATCTAAAATATAATGTCACGCCAGCACAAATCTGCGCTACTTTTTCTTCAAAAGGACGTATATCCCGATGCACTACATGGACATGGATTGCATTTTCGTAATGAATACAAAAAAGTCAGTTAGTGCAGCTTTAATATGATTCATAGCTTTAAAACTCCACTAAGAAAAGCTCTGTTCTTAGTGGAAATTCCAACTGGAATTTGAGCCCAGGACGTTCTTGCTGAGAAGCGAGCATGCTATCCACCCTGCCACTGTATTGCCTCGTAAGATGCAATATTACACAAGAAATCCACAATAGTGTGCAGAAATACCAGAAAATAGTTTTACCGCTTCATATTTTCGATATACTGTTCATATTATGTGTATCTCGTCTTCTGCACAGGTAAAGCCGGCCACGCCCCCTGCCACACACATATGCTGGCCACGCCCCCTGCCACACATATGCCGCCAAATATTTCAAAAACACTGCAATATAATTTATAATATAATGGTCTTTGTGATCAATATCTTTTATAGAATTCTAACTCCTAATGATAATTGCCAATGACATGTTTTGCATCCGGATAAATGGAAAAGTAAATCTGCTTTCAAAACGTTTGGGGCTTTTTAAAAACTTGAGCTTGTCTTGTAAATAAAAGGAGACCGGGTTGACGTGGCTTCAACATAACGTGTGTTGATTTCACTGCGGAATGAGGTTCTTGCATCATGGCCTTGGAATTTGACACCTTTTAAACACGTTTTTCTATTTAAAATAAAATGAAGGACAACATTGCATCTCTCTTTGGAGAAAATAGTCAAATGGTCATGATTAATAATTCAGGTTACTATGTATTTCTTTTTGGAAAATGCTATGTTCTGAGAGGAATAATTATTATAACCTAATGGAAAAAATATTTGAAAAACTTTTTTCTCTTCACCAAGAAAAGCCAGATGTATTTTAGTCCCAAACAAATAAAACTTCACCCCTTCTTCAGCAAATCCTTTTGAATGTACTGCCAACTACAAAACATGTTTAAGATTGTTGCAATAGGAATACAACTTTTTGACCAATTTTCAAAACAGATGTATCCATTTTCGCAAATGAACTCTTCCTATATGGAGAGACTTTGTGAGACTGGAGAAGAAGAAAACTGGTGTCTAGAGAACACATCCCATTTATTTTCAGCACACGTTTAGGCCTTGGAACATGTGACATAGACTGTGCACCGGAAGTGGACAGACTGAGTGTGACATCACCATGGTGTTAGCTTCAAAGTAGTACTAGAATTTAATATGCTGCTATCCAGAATATATGTGTTTATAATATTGCGGGTGTTCATTTTGACATGTTCAGATGAATTATGTTAAAAAAACGGCTTTGAAGTGGCACCTTTTAACAAACGCTAGGGGGAGCCAAAATGGCGGCGATGACGAAGGAGAAGGACATCTCACAGCAGCGGACAGCAGTCTTAGCTGGAAACTG